TTCTTCACCGAATTGCGAACTGAGATTCTTCTCTGAGAAGAACTATCATATTAGCATCCTGGACTTACAGTCGTGAAGCCGAGCGATCGGACCCTTATTTGTCAGTTGGTGGAAAACGCTGGGTTCTAATGAGGATGTGTGTCTTCGCGACCGATTTCGAAACTTACAATCGGGTTCATTTAATTCGAAGATGAGCGTTCGCAAATTTCGCAAACACTAGGGATGGAAAAGATACCTGCTTTGAAAAAGTGGAATAACGGGCGACATGCATTTGTACAGCGAACCATTTGGTATCCGCTGAGTAAGTTTGATTGTTGTGCTCCCAAGATGATCAATCGCTAATCCTCGACAATTCTGAGGCTTATACGTTTTCCTGCACCGATAACGTTGTTTGTTATAGAGAACAGGCAAAAATCAGTAGCAAAAAGGTGTATTTTTTTGCTATGGGTATGCCGAACAATTCGTAGTAGTGTTTGGATCATCGCTCGTTTTCGATGAATGTTTCATACTACCCAATAGTTCCTCTCACTTTGACTGTTCCCTTCATAACGGAGTGGGCGATAATGTCCTCTATCCATCGATCTTCGGGCTTTCCGTGTGCCGTTCACAGCGATTCGACTCCTAGGTGAGTTACTTCCGACGGCGTCGTAGATTTGCATAATGTCTTCATCGACAACCTATTCGCGTCAGAATCAAGCATGGAAGGCCGAAGGCAAGCAGCGGAAGCGGCGGGACCACTAAAAAAATTCAGCGGTAGCTGTGGATACCCATAGGAAGAGTATGATTCTGTTATCTTCAACCTCCCACCATAATTCAGCAACTGCGCACCCTTGATCGGTTTTCAACGAAGGTGAGGCAGATGAAGTGAGAAGCTAAGTCGTTCCCCGCCAGTCGTGTTCGGGTGTGTTACAAATATGCATTAAATCAGAACACAGAGGCGTTCGGGTGCACAACAAGAGAAAGGGACAGTCGTTTCTCCTATTTCGCATTATATATTTAGATTCAAGGATATTGGCGACGAAACTTGGTAGCTTCGTATTCACAAATCCCGCCATATCCCATTAACGACATGGTTTTAAAAATCGAAAAAATCCAATGGAAAAATACGAAAAATCAGCACATTTACGTGGTAGAAAGGATGTTTGTTAGAGTTAAGTAGTTTTTGAACCTTACTGCATATTGCTAGAGTGGAAAGCTCTCGATTCCGTTTTATTTATTTATTTATTTATTTATTCACATACTTCATTGAGTGCGCCACAATTAATGTAGTGTACAAGTAGCAAATAAACTACTCGCACCCACTGTAGAATGTCAGATAGTAAAGGAAGTGAGAGGACAAAATCACTGATGTATGCTAATCTTCAAAAGCTGTAGTGATAGATAGAAAAGCGAAGTCGCTCTGATAGCCAGCAACCTCAGCAGTTAGCCATGATACCCTCATTCCTCAAGAAGTCATAAAGCATAGCGGGATTTCGGCACCCGACTTGTACACTTTTCGATGCTTGCCGCATGGCTGTGTGGCTAGCATCGAGGGAAGCTGTCCTCGGCCTTGTCTGTACAGCAGTTATGGTGGCATCGGACTGCATATTCCCAGATCACTGAGAAAGAAACTCGAATCAAGAAAAATCAAAATATAACAAGGAAAATTTGCAGAGGTAAAAGCAACCGATATAACAACACAGAAAGTATAGGCTATATACAGGGTGTCCCAAAATTATTTGCGCCGATTTAAAGCAATATATTTGAAACTTCTCAACAGCGAAAGACGATGGAATTTCTATGCACGCTAGCTAACACTATGTGCTACAATATGCTACAGTCGCATTTCAAAATACCCCTCATGAGAGCGGATGGAAGACAAAGTTCGCTCTCGACTTGATCGCACATGGCACGCAGGTATCCTTCTCCATTTCTTCCCAGCCGTCCTCCAGCTTTTGCATTCTAGGACTCCAAACTGGGACTGCGAACTCGACAAGTCCTCTTCTAATCAGGGACCATTCGTGGGATTCAAGTGAATCAAGTTCTGGAAAATAGAATGGCCATTCCTCTTCATCAATGAAGTCGGGCAGCTGTCGTCGCCACCACTCGCGGGCAAGCTTGGCTCTGTGGGCTGGAGAAGCGTCCCGCTGGAAGGACTACGAGATGTTTCAGAAAACGTAGTCGGATCAATGTTTTATTTACTTCCATTAGTCCGCCGTTTGAGTACTGGTCTTGGTCAATTTTCACGCCTGCACCGAAGAAACCACGAGCGGCTTACCCTTGCCAGTGATTTCCTCAAAAAACATCATTTTACTTTGACTTGATGTTTTGTTAACTGCTGTTTTACCGCCGCAGTACGCGAAGCGAAAGTCTCACAAGAATGGCGATTTGTGNAACAAAACATCAAGTCAAAACAAGTACTAACACGTAAAGCTTACAGCTTAACGGTTCTGTGCTGATATTGGCCGACCGGCTCAACACGTTGTACGTGTGAGTGCTGATAAGCTATGGCATATAAGCCATTAAGAAGGCGAGGGCGAGCGGGGTCTCGGTAGTGTAAGGGATAAGAGCACGGTCCCCGGAAAGGACAAGTACGGGTTCGAGTCCCGTCCGAGACTGGAGTTTTGCCCACAAATCGCCATTCTTGTGAGACATCATTTTACTGTTCTGATAACAACCTTTTTGTGAGATATTACACGCTGGATGTTTCTTTCCGGAACGCGAACGTTTTGGTTGTTGAGGGATGGTTTTATCGTAACAAATTTTTTGATCAGAGAAAACGACGAAGAGTCGCGTGTCATCACTCAATTGGGTCTGCGACTTTCTGCATTTTTTGCCCCTGCAGAATCTATTGAGATTGGGATTGGAGCATACGATAGGAATGGTAGTGAGGCCTCTGCATGACATTTTTCCATGGCATGGCGATAACTCCTGTAAGCCGTGCCCGTTGACTTCCTTTTGGTGGGCCACCCAGGATCCCGACCGATTGGCAAACGGACCATTTTAATAGTCCTATCTTCAGAAACATTCTACCTTTCTTTCTTTCCTGGTTTGTCTCTGATTCAATCTTCTTTTCTATATCGTTTAATAGCCTCCTATACGGTTATTAGAAAAATCCCAAAGAATTTCATAACGCCCTTCGCGCGTCAATGATTGCAAGTGGCATTGAATGAGCCTCCTCCATCTGAAGGATAATGGGAGTTCCACATCAGCAACCATGCATGTTGCAAGAAAACCTTCATATGCAACTAATCAATGACAGGTAATGTGAATTTGATAGATTATTTCTACCTCAAAAATTACTGAACTTTGGCGCAAATAATTTTGGGACACCCTGTACATGCAAACAACATGCCATGAATTCACGCCATGCTAAGGTCTAGTGGAGAGGTTACTGAACCAGAGCACATAGTGCAGGAAAACAGAAGGAGAAGGCACTCCATACGTTAGCCCTCATCCCGCGATATCCTCCAGTGTTAAAGATTTTTCATGCCAGACACATCCCTACACATGTAAGCTCTTCTTCAAGTTGTAATGCCCACCACCACCCAGTCAAGCCCCATGAATTATATCTACAACCTGAGTAGTCTTTCGGGCATTGACAAAAGAGCTATTAGGGTAAGCACATATATGCATGGAGAGAGGCCAGTGCTTGAAGGCACAGTTCACGATAATTTTGGGTAATCCAGATTATGGCGAAAAATAGAAGATGAGGTGGAAAATAATGCGATAATTGTGAAGGAAGTGCGCGATTCGGCGTTTCCAAAGTGATAGATGCCTTAGAAAAAAATCGTTAACAAAGAAGCTGGACGAGAAGAAGACGAAAAATTGAAGAAGTAGGTGTGTTTGGAGCTACACAATGTGTGTCGTTGCGTACGTGTGGGGTCTGGTGCGACTACAGTAGGCGAAAATGTACCTTAAAACTCATTCACTCATAAGCATAAGTAAACAAAAAAGCTAGCAACAGCAAACATAGACCACCTTTTTTAGCCAATTGGGGTAGAAAATTAAATAAAGGAACGCAGCAGCAAAAAAATAACAGAGAATAAAAGAATAGGAGGAAAGAATAGCCTAATTACTCGGATCAGAAGATTATGTGTGGGTCCTAGAACGAATATTGCAATCTGTATCGCCACGACACTCGTCCAACATGACATCGATCGAGAGGCGGGGCATCCGGGCGATCCGGTAATGGCTCCCACTGTGTCCTAGCCGTTGGGTTTTTTAGAAACGACAGGTCCTTTCTGCTACCATTGGGGGCCACTGGGTATTCCTTGAGGAAGAACTCAGAAACCATTTTTATCGTGAACTGCACCCTTTAATTGTTCACTTTTGTCTTCACTTTCCTTTTCCGTCGTCTTGTTACCCACTGGATTCTTTAATTCCTCCTTCCCCGATCCTCTTTTTGATCTTTGGAAGGCCTTAAAGGCCCAGTTCACGATAATTCGGTAATCCAGATTATGATGAAAAATGGAAGAAACGATCGAAAATAGTGCGATGAAGGTGAAGAAACTGCGTGAAGCGGTGTTTCCAAAGTGGAAAAGGCTTTGAAAAACCGTTAAAAAGGGGGCTGGACGAGAATGAGACCAGAAAAATGAAGAGAAGTGGGGTGTTTGAACGAGCTATACAATGTGTCTTACTGCGTACGTGTGGGTCCTGGTGCGAGTAACAGTCTACGGTAAGCAAAAATTCATTCACTTATAAGCACAAGTAAACAGAAAATCCTGGTAACAGCAAAAGTAGCTCACCTTTTTCGGCCTCTAGAAAATCGCGGTAGCAAAAAGAATAACAGAGAGAAAAAATGGCAGAAAAACATCGCCTAATTACTCGGCGACCAGCTGATTGTGTGTGGGTCCTGGAACGAATGGTTGTAATCTGTATTGTATCGACACTCGCCTGACGTGACATCGATCGAGGGGCGGAAAAGCCAATTAGCAACAGGGCTTCCACTATGCAGTAAGCGTCGAGATGATGGTGACTCACCGATGATATCCTTAAGTATAATGTCAGATTCATGCTAAATGCATGAATCTGACGGTATACTCACGGAGATCATCGGTGATCACAACGTCGATCAAAATGAAGATGAGGATACGGTCATAACAACAGCGTTCTTTACCTCTTCAATTTTGCCGATCGGAGTCACAACCATCCTTCTCGTTGAAGTAGGCGATTATCTTAATATCAGCACTTACAGTCCCATTTCCCTGCCCTATACTATTTTCAAAGTTCTTGCGCGTGCGTTGTCTTACGTGGTGGAAAAGGTCATGAAATTTGTCCCAGAAGAACAGGCAGGTTTCTCTGTAATGGCATTGTAGTCCTTACATTCTCTATGGGCATAATTCCGAGAATAAAGGAGACCGCTTCATAGGTCTTTGTTGACTCCAAAAAGCTACTGATACCAAAAAAATGAATGTCATTTTTGGTTGGGGCTCTAAGGAGGAAGATGTTGACATTCAAAGAGGGGTCCTACAAGGTGATCCATTATCTCCTTTGCTATTTATTCTGACGCTTTGGATGTGTACCGATAAAATGCTATGGACCATCAAGCTTACCCCATTGAACGACTTCACCTCAATTACCTCGCCTATACTGCCGAAGTTTTCATGTGGTCGGCAACTGGGGTAACTATACTCAACAAACTCATTGAAGCTACCGAGCCGATAGAACGAGTGAATCCGTAACAAGCCAAGTGGATGTCAACCAATCGCAAGAGAAATGGCATCGAGGTGAACGGAATAGAAATCGAATTGGTGGCTTCATTCGAGCCAAGTTCTACAGTACTCGTCCTGAAAACTAGAAATTTCACGTGAATAGCACGAACTCCCATCTTTTTCGCCTTTTCTCCATAGATCGGTTCGTAGTGAAATAATCTAAGAACATCGAAAGTACCATTGAACTCAGCTCGTCGAGCTCTATAAGCTGATTCCCTCAAGTGTCGAAAAGCCTAGTTTTGGATTGCGCCATGCACTTGAGTTCCATCTAAAGTATCTGGATGTACATAGGGCGCAAGCTTTAGCGCTTGTAGGGCCTGATTGGTCCCCCGAGGATGAAGTGTTCAGAATCTATGTAATGATCCACGTACACGACTTTACTTAGTACAATGTGGAAGTAGTCCATCGGTTTTGTTGAGTCTCCATCGTTCATTTTTAATGTGGGGCTGTGGATGACTGCGTCTGAGTCTTTGCATTCAACGCAAATTTTACAGACTCCATTGGGATTACAGCATCAATTTACGGCAAAATACAATATCCACCCTAATTATTCAAAAAATCATGGAAAAACGCCGATTCGCGTGTTTTTCGTCTTTTCTTTATAACTAGGTCAGTTTTCACTTTCACGCTTCCCTTTTATTCAACATTGAGCGTCGAGGACGTTAGTGCGAAGAAAGATGTGTGGTCGGTCATAAAGCTAAGATGTAGTGTGAGTTGAATATTGAATATCCAATTAACTTACTCACTCCTGTGCTCCCTCTTGAAGCTCAGTCAGAAAACTGTATGATCTCGGCTAGGAATTGTTCCTGAGCACCTCTTTATCCCTAGTGCTCTAAGTTGAGAAAAGCGGAATTTGCTCAGCTACATACATATGCCGCGTTCAAAACCGCGGACAAGAAACCAATAGAAGGATCAACGGATCGTTAGTAGAAGAGCGTAGATCGTTAGCAGAGGAGCTCAAGTTCTGTTGAAGAGCATTAAAACACCGCGCTCACCAAATGACGTCTCTTCACACATGCGGAACTATCGTATGGATGCGAAACGTGTGCTTAACCAAAATCGATAGGGAATCGTATCGAAAAATGTGAGCAACGTATGGGGCGTCAGATGGTTGGTCTTCGGCTAGAAACAAAGTACCTGATAGAGACAGATGATGCCCTATGGGAGCAGAACACTTACCACTGGTTAGACGATCAAGAATACGATGAGAAGCTTATCTTCAGACCTTCGCAGGTGAGGATTGAAAGAGCTAGGCAGCATCTTCTGAAGGAATTCAGAGCATGGCGCATTTATCGGTTTATGCCACATGAATACTGGAAATACTTACTTACTTGGGTACTTGGACGCTCGTTGTCGTCTTATAAACGTTAACACACGCGAACACACGCGTCCCTCCATTTTTGACGATCTTGAGCGGTTTGAGACCAGGGTTGACGCGTGTTTAACCTCACTTGGATACCAGAATACAACGCGAGTGGTCTTCCTGTCGTCCGTGCGTCTGTTTACGTGTCCTACCCATTTTACTTTGCTTTCCACGCATACACTTCAACGTCACGTATGCCGGACAATTAGCGCATGTCTGGCTGCGGAGGTTGAGACTTCTCTGCACTGCGCAGTTGATCTTCAGCAGCGTCCGCTCCAAAGCCCTTTGTGCGCGAATCAACATTAGGGTTGACGTCTTGTTCTCCGCTAAGGTCTCGGATATGTAGCAGAGTGCGGACAACATATAGAGTCGAAGGTCAGCTCGTGTTTTCTTGTCCGATACGAGGTGAGCCGCTTCTTTGATGTTTCCCATTGTATCCCATGCGCACGCGAAATAAATGAATAAATAAATTAATAAACATATATATATATATATATATATATTGAGTATAAGTGCAAGTATATTTGGAGTTGAATGTAAGGGTTCTTAATTTGGTCAATGTTCAGTGGAATATAATCTGTTCGCTTGGAATTTCTTACTAAGTGATCAGACATTGTAGTCTACCTTTCCTCAAAAGCTGTAGATCAAGTCTAACTCTATGAACTCTGTAACTTTCTTGGAAGTGGGTCTCATCCTTGAAAAAGGTAAATCATTTTGAGAGCAGATTGAAATATATTTTTCGTATACAAGAATGTTCTCATTGGAGGGATTCCACAAAGGGTTATGAATTTTTCAGATGTGCTGATCCAGCATCGGACAGTTATTTCTCGTACCACGCCTGCTGTGACAATGCGTGCTGTTATCGGCTGAGATTTTGGGTGATGTGAGTTTTTAATTGAAACTTTTTCTTCTGCAATCGTCCAATATTATAGAATTCGTTTACCGAAAGATGGAATCTGTCACCTCGTAAACTTTTTACGCATGAAATACGATTCAATGAACAACACTCGGTTTTTCGTCTTCATCCGTGGAATGTCTGCATTTTTTACTTCTTCGGAGCCGTCTTACAAGTCAAGGATCACAAGTCAAGATGGCCATCTGAAAGTTTTATACTGCCAAACGCATAGCTGGAAGCTAATCTCGAGCATGCATACCTAAGACCGCCTCATCGGAGTGACGAAGGCGAACTCAAGAGGGGTGCCTAGTAGTCCAGCATAAATACAAAGATCTAGCTCAACATTTGTAACTGTCATCTGACTTAGGTGACTCGAATAGAGTAAAAGAGATGATGTGGTCGGTCTCGGTAATCGTCCTTCTTTCACTGCTATGCACTTCCTTTTCGTTCATGGCCATTCGAGAAGGGGCTCTTTGTTCAGAACATGGTTTGCTGTTGAAACATTGGGTCATTCGGGAACTAATTTCGATTGTGATCATTTCACAATACACTTTTTTCGCCTTTTGAACGAACCTACGGTTTTTTTTGAAGAAAGAACTAAACCGCGCTAGATTTGATACCTCCATCTTCAATAGAGGTTTCCTATTAGAAGACTTCTGCCATTACCGAAATAACTGTTATTCAGAGGGCGGAAGATCGGGTCTAAATGGTGGATGTAGCATCACTTCCCAACCATGCTTCGGTAATTTTTGTCAAGTCTCCAAAAATGTATACGATCTGACCTAGCCATAGCATAGCGTTAGTCCTTTTCGACTCGTTAATATCGGAGATTCTTCAACTGCACTATGAAATTCTTACAAGTAGAGGTCCAAGTCACCAGTCTGATTCTTTGAAGGCACTTCAGTTTATATCTAACTCAATAATCCCACCGAATACGTGCCGCGTCTTTTTTTTGTGAATACCAACTTTAGATTTCGTTTGAGCAGTTTCATCTTATATTTACCATAATCGTTTGTGAGTAAAATTATTGTAAACACTCCAACTTTTATCAGCAGTAAGTATCCGAATATAAATGAGCGGTGCTCATTACATTTGAAACGCAAATCGCAGGCACAACTCACGGCGTACAGCGTATTTCCTTCAACTCATGTGGCACTTGAACATCTAGTTTTTTTCATTAATCAACGCTTTTCGATATTTCCGTCAACTATTCCCATAGATGCGTTTGTTTACCTTCAGAATCCGCCTTCGGGTGGTGAGTACTTCAGTCCTCTTCAGTATGCCACAAACAACGAAGGCAGTTCCCCTAATTTACAAGGATGACGTTCCCTTAGTGATCACCGACCTTGCCTCCAAAGTAAGGCTTGCCGTGATATGATTGGATGATGCCAAGTTGACGGCATAGTTTTCGATGTCACTCTCTGTCCGATGGTATGGTCCCTAGTGCTTCCCGGGTTTCTTCAAATGGCCCAAGAAGAAAGGTAACTATCAGGTTGTTCGGGAAGGAAGGCGCGCTAACTTTGTTCATTCATTTCTCCCCTACTATAGATGATTATTCAGAACAGTTTTGTCTATTCGAAAGAGATTTTCTTTGCGCATCTTTTGATCACCTTTGTCTATGTCTACTTTGTTTTTTCTAAGTAAAAAAGTTCAAAAGGTGCTCGAACAAAAATGCCTTTTGTGGGCTTACATGTGGTACAACTTCAAGCAAGGAAAATCGGCTGCTGAATCTCATCGTGCCACATCTGAAGTATACGG